AGTCATGCAAATTTGGCGGAAATTGGTCTGTAAAGCATTATTATTTGTCTTGCTTAAATTTCTTTTCATTTTATTATTTATTTATTATTTATACTATTTATTTTTGTTTTATTTCCGACAGCCGTTGATCCGAATTTTTACGGATATGCGATTCTCAAATTGTTTGAAAATATTGCCACTATAATTGATCAACATCAGCCAGTGGTCGAAGCTCATTATGGTCCAGGAAAGATGATCAGAGTTATTGAGAGACTTCAAGAAGAATGTGATAAGCAGTGCCGAATTATTTTAGATACTTTTCGTGATGAAAGACAAATCCATCGAAAGGTTAGATATTGTAACTTAATATATATTTCGTTGCGTTATAAAATCGTTGATTTCACTTCTAAATTATATATATTTTTTGTTTACTTATATGTAAAAGTTTTTATATTTTTAGGTCGCTGATATAAAAATATATAACACGTCGAAAAAACCAATTGGTCCTCAACGTTCTGGACAACCCCGAGAAATTGATAATGTACCCGATCCTAGGGAACTTGATGTTGTATTGACTGAGTTGGCAATGATTAGTGCAAGAACTCACTTGTATTATCGATTTATTGAAGCAAGAGCAAATGTATGTCCAAAATTATAATTGTTTGCCAGTAAATATAGTGGCATTAATTTTTATTATATACAATGTGTAGTCAGAAGTTGAAGCTACGAAAGCAAGTAGAGAAGCCGATGTATCATTAATTGAAAAAGACGGGAATGATTATGATCCAACGAGTATAACGAGGAATAGTGAATTATCTAAACAAGTTAAATCGTTGATGGCCGATTTTCTTGTCATGGAGGAATATTTTTTTAGAAAAGCAATTGAAAAAGTATTATACTAACCTCATATATATCGATATATAAATTTATTTTTGAATAGTCTTACTGAATCTTTTATTTCATTCATTTGTAAAAACAGGCCATGATTATTGACGATTATGATGAAGGTAGCATAACTTCAAGTTGTGTTGGCGATGTTTTTTATATTCTCAAGGAATGTCTTACTCGGGCGCTGTCTACCTCGGATTTTGAGTGTTTGACTTCTATGGTTAATCTTGTAAATCAAAGTTTAGAATTTGATTATATTACATTGTTTCAGAAAAGGCTTGTAACGGCTTTTGCCACTCCTGAACCAAAAGATGCTAAAACCGGTTATATGGTTGACTATTTCATTACCTTTTTTTTCGTAAAATTTTTTCTAAATATTAATTTATATTATATAATATCGATTGAATTAACAGATACTGTTAAATAATTTGGATGTAAGCCGTGATTATATGCAACGGCTCACGACGGAGTTAATGACGTTACCTTCAATCAGTGACGATAGCAAAGAAAAGGTACAAAGATGCTTTATACGGCTTAATGAGGCTACGACAAACAAGTTTCAGCAGATTTTACAGGTTCTTTATTAAATTTGAAGTGTTAATCTCGTGAACATTGTATAAAATATTATAAGGAATTTACAAACACTTTACACATATATGTAATTATATAATTAATAGAATGGACTTGAACAACTGTTTACACAAATGGTAAAACCAAGAATTCGCCCAATTTTGCAAGATGCTTATAAAGATATTAAATATGTTCTTAGCGAAGATGAATATCATGAACAAGAATCGAACGATAGTTTTGCAAAACGCTTTGTATCTGGATTTGATGCATTAATTCAAATTTATCAGGTATTTTAACTCAGTTTTCTATGAATAGTTGATTTATTATTTAAATTTAGTATTTTGCATAAAATTGATATGAAAAAATGATTTGATTTTTAAATAGTCAACATTCTCAGATAACAATTATAATCAATTAATGATGCATATCTTAGAATCGGTTACTAATATGCTAGAAAAAACTGTTTTTGGCACCAAGTTCAACCAGGTGAATCTTTATAATTCATATATCGTTTTTCTTTTATACATCATAGTTAAAAGTCTTCAAAATTTATCAATTACTATTATATGATTTATTTTTTAAAAAGTATGGTGCTCTCAGATTTGACAAAGATTTAAGAGCTGTAAACAATTATTTCTCCACAAAAATGCGATGGGTATTCAGAGATAAAATGACAAGATTAAACCAAATTTCAACATTATTGAATTTGGAAAGTGTAAGTCATATTAGTGAGATCAATATTGCTATTATTTACTTGAATAGTTTTGCAGGTTTAAAGCACAAATTAATTTGTCAAGAGATTTTATGCTTCGAAATTTATGCCTATTGTTCAACTTATAAGTGCTAATTCTTTTTTTTTATATCTGTCAATATATTATTGCAATTGGAATAATTAATAGTTATCAGAAATTTATGACTACTGGGGAAGCGCCACAAAGGCCACAAGCCCTATTACTTGGAGGCTAACTGTTGCTGAAGCTAAGAAGATTGTTGGGTTAAGGTATATATTATTTTTATTGAGTTTGTTTATAGATAATATAAATATAAAATAGCAATTAAATTGAAAGGTTTTATTTTTTAATACGTTAATTTAATTATTACTTTTGTTTATTTTTATATAAATAAAAATAGAATTGATTTTAGTGCTGAAGAAGTTGCAAAGCTAAAGTTGTAAGGTATGCAAAGTTTTTTTTAAAGTTATAGATTGTATTGTTTTTTTCAAATATACAGTATATTAAAAATAAACTTTAAATAGGTTTATAAAATATGTACTGTATGTATTATATATATTGTATATCTAAAATAATATAACAAAATTTAATTGGTTAAATTTTAACAAAAATCTATATATAAGACAAATTACAATATATATTATATTTAGTAATAATTTATTAGATTTGAAATACAGTATAATAAAATGAAAAGAAATTTAAGCAAGACAAATAATAATGCTTTACAGACCAATTTCCGCCAAATTTGCATGACT